GTTGTTGTTCACTCGGTGACCACTTTTCTGGCTGAGGGTTCTGGCTAAGACTCAGACTCATGGCCCCTCCACTGTCTACTTGGGTCCTTCTGGATTTCAACATCCAGCTAACAGATAGGAATGAAAGAAAATGGTAACTCTGCTGGAGATTTTTGGGGCATCAACCTAGAAGAGATGCACATCACTTCTGTTGTATTCCATTGGCCAGAACCCGGTTGCTTGCTCAACCAGAGGTAAAACAAGCTGGGAAATGTCATTGCTGGCTAGGTAGCCACTTTCCACCAACATCTCTACACCATGGAAGGAAAATAAGAATGCTTGGGAGTCAGCTAATTATCTTGACCACAATAGACAACTTAGTCTTTAAAAATTGATTCTAAAGGATCTTATTTTTTGAGGTGAGGGGCTGTGGTTTCAGAGGCAGCCTGGAGATACCAATTTCTGAATTTGATTTGATGACTGTGCAATGTAGATCAATTGAATTTTCAGTTCTATGATCATCTCCTTTTAAGACTTTATCCACTTAAAAAATCTGATCTATCATCTAGATTCATTTTTACATTCAAAGACTCTTTAGAGGTAGATGGAAAACAAGGAGATCAAAAATTATAACTGGCCCCAGGAGAAGCCCTCTCACTGTCAGAATTGTTTAAATCCTCTCCTGACTGGTGGGCCCCAATCTTTACCAACTACTAACTGATTTACTTTTAGATAGAATCAAAGTTCCTGCATATCCTCAGTAGGGAATCAAAGTGCTGTATGATAATCCAACCATTTCCCAAAGAAAGGAAAATGTGCTCTTATCTCCAAAGTGCAATGTCTCTTCAAAAATCTTTGCCAGCTTTCTTTTCATCAAACTGTGGAACCAGATTTCTTAGTCTACTAGCTTACATGAGGCATAGGCATGAGGCTGAGCATCACTCAGCCTACTGACCCTGGCAATATAATGTTTTATCTCCCTACAAAAGAGTTAGAAATAAAATAGGTTTGTTTACAACTTCTAACTATTCTACTAGCTTTTGATATGAAAGTACCTAGCATATAAGCCAAGTTATACAATACTGTTTTAGAGATCCCAATTTAACAGTAGTGCTATAATTAATAAGTAGTGCTAGCTTTGAAGGACCACTATCCTTAAAATTTAAAATATCTTTCTAAGCCATATACATCTGGCTTACACAGATTCATCTTGCTTTTTTTTCTTATCTTGTATGAAAACCTTGGGATTTTACATCAGTGTTTTATAATTTTTGAACCACTTACCCTGAACATTCTATATGTAAAGAAGGGTTATATTGTCAAGTGAATTTCAAAATGCTCTATAATGCATGCTTCTTTCGCAGATAATGTTCAATAGCAAATTGAAAACAGAAATGTCTTGTAGTATAGAAACCTGTTAACCTTCAACTAGGCATTACCCTAATGAATATCATTTTTTAGCTTACTCACAATATGAACCGTGCACTATGCTAATTGTTTTACATGCTTTAACTAATGTAGTTCTCACAGCAGCCCATGAGGCAGGTACTATTGTTATATCGACTCTACAGATCAGGGACTGAGGACTACAGAGGTCAGGTAACTTGGTCAAGCTGACAGTTGGTAATTAGGAAAGCCTAGCTTTTAAACCAGGTCTGGCCTGAGGCCAGACACCAATATCTTCACCACTGGGCTCCCTCTCTTTTAAAATAATACATCTTAACACTCAGTGGCTGTTAGAGGAATTAGTTGCATGTCAAAGGAAGCAACTTCCTTTCTACTGATGGTTGTGCAGTTTGAGTAGGAATATTTAAACCTGTGGACTAATTGTGAAGAAGGAAGAAGAAAGAGAGGAAGGAAAGAAGGAAGGACAGAAGGGAGGAAGGGAGAAAGGATGGATGAGAGGGAAGAAAATGAACAAGAAGGAGGAGAAAGAGAAAAGAAAACAAACAGACAAACAAAAACCTTAGCACCATCTATAGGGGGATAAATCATATTTGACAGATATTTTCCCAGGTTTGTATTGATTTTATTAAATAATCTTACCTTTGAGGTCCACGAGACCTGGGTTCTATGTCCTGCCACTAATCTACTATATAACCTATTATTTTGTTAGAAAATTTAATCTCCCTAAGCCTAAGTTTTCCCATCTGTAAAGCAGAGAAAAGCCTGCCTGCACTATTTGCATAGTGTAAAGATGTTATAAAAGTACTGTGGATATTTAAAAAACAAAACAATACCCAAAAAAGCAGAAAACCTTACATCATAATATACTACAAGAGTGCTTTTAAACATCTATTATTCAGCCGGAAGGCTTCTTGTAAAAGGCAATTCTCGAGGGGAATCCCAATAGGTGAAATAGATAAAAAGCAGAGCTGACCATTGGAGCAAGGATAAGGAAGCCAGAGCTCCCTCCTCTTCACTGCCCCTCACCACCTTCCATGAGTGGTGAAGGGCCCCACAAGTCTCTTAGGGTTCCCTAGAATACGGTCCTTGCAAAAGTGAGAGAACTGAGACTGTCTTGAGCAAATTTTGGGCCTCTGCTTCTCCCTGTGAAAAAGGAAAAAGTTGGACAAAATAATTCTTCAGTCGCCTTCCAGTTCTGACATTCTAGAAACATGGGTTTCTGGTTCTTCTGTCATTACAGAGCAATGTCTCCTTCCACACTAACAGCATCCCTCACAGGGAACATCATGCACATGCCTGCACTGAGGGTAAACCTCCATGCAGTATCCTCAGAGACATGCTCCCCGTCAGACCTCTGAACTATCTCAGCATCGATAGGGTGCACCGTGTGCATGCTGGGTCACTGCTGTCTGGATGCATTCATTCTCTCTACAAACATTTCCTGAGCTGCTTCTCTGGGAAAAAGATGTGCTGGACTAAGACAGGAACCCTGGAACAGGTATATTTATTTCAATCTTGTCCATGAGAAGCTCATAGCACTATGGAGAGATGGGGACAGACACACAAACAGCTAGACCCAGGGCTCTAATGGGAATGTACACAAGGCACTCAGGGTTGTTTGGTAGCTCACTGGCATGTGGGGGGCACGGCCCTGGAGTTGGTCTCCCTGGCTCAGATCCTGGCTCCACAGCTACGCCGTGGCCTTGGGAAATTTATTTCACTTTCCACATCTCACTTTCTGCATACTTAAAATTGAAAAGATAATTAACTACCCACTTTGCAGGTTTTGTGAGGATGAAAGGAGTTAAAACATAAAAAGCACTTTAAAAAGTCCCTGAAATGCAAGCATTCAATAAATGATAACTAATATGATTTCCAGTCCAGAGCCCAGTTCCTTCTTAGGAAGAACAGCACAGTGGCTAAACGCAGCCTCTGCAGAGAGATTGTCAGGGTTCTAGGACAAGCTCAACCACTTTGCAGCTGCTTCACCTTGGGCAAATTAACATACTCCCACAAGCCAGGCGAAATGGCATGAAAACTGTTGAACGCTTAGCCTCTGACATAGCAAGAGCATCATCAGTGCTGGCAATTATTGTTGTTAATGGCTGCAAGATTACAGGAAAAACTATTTCCAACTGAAGGAACTGGGAAGGACATCAAGGTGAAGATGACATTTCAGCTGACCATTTGGCAAGCGCCTCAGTTTTTGTGAGTCTATGCTGAGTTCTGGCTGTTGATAGACCTGTTCATCCTTCTGCGTTGCACTTCTAGTTCTCTTTCCTTTTTTCCTTTGTATCTAGAGCCAGTAAAAGGATCACAAAACAAAACACAATTGTCTAAAGCAAATAGAGTTTAGAGACAGAGATAAAGAGAGACAAGTATAGGAGGCATAGCTTTAGGGTGTGTGGGTGTGTGTGGGTGTGTGTATTAGTCATGTCATTCTGCTGTTTCCAAACCTTCAATGACCCCCTGTTGCCTAGAGGTGTAGTCTACACTGCTTAGCCTGGCCTTCAAAACCATCTGCTACCTATACCCAGATACCTACTGCCCTTTTGAGCTAACTCCATCTTCCACCCAGGACCCACAGAACTTAAACATCTGGTCAGATTCCTGTCTTCATATCTTGGCTCATATTCTCCCTAACCTGAAAGGTTTTGGTCCAGACCATTCATCTCTCATGATCGTAAGCCCTGATTCCTCCTGTTGCATTTTTCCCTGCATAAGATCTCACACTTGGCTTTTGCTTCTCTAAACTCCTTAGGCCCACTCACTTGTCACTTCTACGGTCATGTCATGTCTTCCCATGGTAGACCAGAGACGTTCTCAGAGTGAGGCCTATCTCTCAGACTTCTTTGCATCTCATCAACCATGCCTCACAACAGGCAACACTAATGTTTTACCTCAGAGCCTTACGCACAATAGCAATTCAATTAATGTTTGTTGAAAGACCTTGGAAAATGAATTAGTATAAATAACCTACTCAAATTTGAAAAATTAATATTGTCAACCATAATTTTTAGGCACTCCTCTATACTATTATAATAGTCTATACTTGGAGACAGAAGAAATTTTAAAAAATAAAGGATAAACAACCATCCTAGGAAGTTAAATCTAGATGGAAAAATACTGTTAACCTAAAAATAAAGTAAAATAATGTAATGTTTAAATTATATGATTCCAACTATAGTTCAGAATGAGCTCACTGAAGGGCAGGATTAGTAGACATGGGGGAAAGAGGGGTTTGGCCCTGTGAACAACTGCAGGGAATTAAATCCCATGGTCCTGGCTTGCATTGTACAAAGCAGTATGGCTGTGTAAACAGTTAAGCCCTTATCCCTCGGAGGGGGCAATTTCCAAACTGAACCAATTATTTTGGGGATTTTCCCTGGGGGCAAAATTGGGGGCACCTGTGCTTCTTATTGTTTCTGTTTACCAATAAATAATAAAAGCATTGCTTCTTACTGTTTCTGTTTACCAATATTTTAGAGCTCAGTGTGTCCAATTCTTCATGAGCTCCTTACTTTCCTGTCTCTAATATTGACTGGATGATCCAGAGCAGGCCAGTTCAGAGGAGGCTGGCCCACCTGACATCTCCACCCTCTTCTCATTAACAGATCGGTTACTGGAATGAAGATGATAAGTTTGTCCCTGCAGCCACCGACGCCCAAGCTGGGGGCGATAATTCAAGTGTTCAGAACAGAACATACATCGTCACAACAATCCTAGTGAGTACTCAGTCCTTCATCAAGGTTACCTGGGATTCAAGCTAGGCCACCACAAGGGTTTTCCACCAGGACTGAAAGCTAGCCTTTCTTCTTGCCAAACTGTATAATAGATAAAAGCAGCAAGTTGAAAAGGGAATGCCCTGAAAGTGAGAGAGGCTCTGAGTTTTCATTTTGTATCTCACAGTTTCACTCTCTCATCCTTTGCACCCTTGGGTAAGTTACTTACCTTCTCTTGAGCCAGCTTTCCCATATTTAAAAACATGAGGGTGACACTAAATTGTTCTGGTTTTCATCCATTCTCCCTCAATAGAAGCCCTTTTCAAAGAAAGTCCAATACATAAAGTAGTTATAAGTGAAGATGCTGTAATTTTTGGTGACTGGTCATGAGAAACCTGGAGTCTGTTTAGGGTCTATTTCCCCTTCAAGATGACCCCAGAGGTATTTCTGAAAAATACAAAATCTCATGGAACATAATTTGAAAAGCTGTACGCCATATCTCAGTGATGAAACATTCTTATTTTAACAGTTTACTTCCTTAACCCTAGAAGCTTGTAATGGGCTAAGGAGTGAAGACATTTAGGAAATGGATTGAGGGGCTAGAGAGCCTTCCCCAGTGTTAACCAAACGTGATATTATGCCATGACAAAGTCCTCCCTACCCATAGGTGAACCCATAACCCACATTCTCCTATCTCCCCATTTCTCTTCCAGGAAGATCCTTATGTGATGCTCAAGAAGAACGCCAATCAGTTTGAGGGCAATGACCGTTACGAGGGCTACTGTGTAGAGCTGGCGGCAGAGATTGCCAAGCACGTGGGCTACTCCTACCGTCTGGAGATCGTCAGTGATGGAAAATACGGAGCCCGAGACCCTGACACGAAGGCCTGGAATGGCATGGTGGGAGAGCTGGTCTATGGAGTAAGTTCACCACACGGCAGGAAATTAGAGGGCGGAGGCAGAGGGTTTGACAGGAAATCATTTGGTGGTTGGGTGGCCCTGCCCACAGATGTCTATGAAACCCTGTAATTGAGTGTTGTTGCTGCTGAACAGATGAGTCACCCAAAATCCAATTTCTTAAGACACTCTTTGTTCAGGTTACCGGTCCCAGCTCCCTCAATCCCACTCAGAGTCTTGTGACTTCAGTTTATTGTTGTCCAACACAGGGGACAGCATAGCTCCAAAGTCAATTTTCTTGAGGCAGGCTTCTGAGTTGCCTACAAAAAGTCACTTGTGGCTCTCTCAGTATCAGTTTATTCTCTGGTATTAAATGCATCTGGATCCAACCTAACTTTCTAGTCACTTGCCTCTCTAGTTTCCTGCCCTCTCATGAAATTTCCAATTCAGTCAAATGTCCCTCACTTACTCCGTTCCCTAGAGTGCTCCCTTCCATTCTCCACCCCTAAGATCCCACTCCTTCAAAACCTGTGTCAAATAGTACTTTTTTCAGGGTGTTGTTTCTTTCTTCTCATTATAGGTATGAATGTCCCTTTTAATTGTTCTCGCCTTCCCCTATAGAATTTAGTTGCTGGGTTTTTTTAATGGCTTACTCTGCCTTATATAATGGTTATCTGTGTAACAGGGGTAGATCTATTTTATCTTTATAATGCTCATCACACTTGAAATAACTCCATGCACAATTGCTACAAAATCATCAATAAATTACAGCAGTTTTGAAAAGCTGCTGAATGCCCCACACTGTTTTAAGCATTTAGGGAATTATTGAGAAGCAAAAGATTTGATCTTTTGCTTAATACTTTATGAGGTAGAAAAGACCCCATCTTTTAACATTTTATGGGGTAGAAAAGACAATGTGAGAAAATAGTAAAAGGTAGCATAGAATAAGCAGTCTACATTGTGTGGCTCAGCTAAGGGCTAACTAGAGTTTGTCTAGCCCTCAGTGGGGATGTGAAACTTGAAAAATGACCATATTTAAACAAACAGAGAGACCAGGCAATGCGGCTCATGCCTGTAATCCCAGCACTTTGGGAGGCCAAGGCAGGCGGAGCACCTGAGGTCAGGAGTTTGAGACTAGCTTGGCAAACATGGTGAAACCCCATCTCTACTAAAAATACAAAAATTAGCTGGGTGTGGTGGCAGGCGCCTGTAATCCCAGCTACTTGGGAGGCTGAGGTAGGAGATTCACTTGAACCCAGGAGGCAGAGGTTGCAGTGAGCCAAGACCATGCCATTGCACTCCAGCCTGGGCGACAAGAGCAAAACTCTGTCTCAAAAAATAATAATAATAAACAGACGAGAGAAAAGAAGCCCAGGAATTTTAAAAATATAAACAATAGGATGGTGGTGGATATAAGTAAGGTGTAAGAGGAGAATGAGAAAATGCATGATTTTTGTTGAGGACTTGGGTTGAAGAGTAGTCAGGGATACATTTGAGTAAAAAATAACAAGAGGAAGAGTGTGGATGATTCAGTAGGCATTGGGAGATCACGAAGGTATTTGAGTAGAGAGACAACAAAAGGCAATGGAAGAGGCCTCCAGCTGCCTTGTGCAGGGAAGGGACCACCACGGCTTCACTCACAGAAACTAAAGCATATGGCAAGCCCCAGGTCAATGTTAAGTGCTCATAAGGACAAGCAGCCACTGAGGAGGATGATAAATCTTCTTGTTTCATATCAGGGCAAGAGGCGTCATGATGGCCATGAGAGACATACAAAGGGAATTCAAAGAAGAAAAAGATGGAATAAAGGAAATCTTCCTCAGGGAGGTGGCTTTCGAGATGACATGTGAAGGTGGTTATTGAGTTGGGGAATGGGATGTGCTTCTCCCCTTTCTTATTCCCTTTACCGCCTCTCACTTTGGGAAGCTCCATGGACAAAAGGTAGAGAACTGGATGGTACATGCTGCATCTAGAGGCTGGTTTCCATGGGAACTCCCAACAAGCTCTTAAGGTCATCCCCATGGCAACTGCTGTGCACTTTTCACCTTCTCTAGCATTTATCTTCACCTTCACCTCATGTAATGTGGTTTGCTTGGTTAAAAGTCTGCAGTGTGGGCAGAACAATGCCAGGATCACCCCCAGTAGCCAACACAGCCGGTGGTGAGTCACTGGCACAGCAGGGCTCAGGCCAGCTGGAGTTACCTGTGGGTGCCTCAGCAGCCAGCCCTGCCCCAGTAGCCTCCTCTTTATCAGGCCTGTTCCTCTGCCAAGTAAAAAATGTGTTCTGGCTGGGTGTGGTGGCTCATGCCTGTAATCCCAGCACTTTGGGAGGCTGCAAGGTCAGGTGGGAGGATCAGAAGGTCAGGAGATCGAGACCATCCTGGCTAACACAATGAAACCCCGTCTCTACTAAAAATACAAAAAATTAGCTGGACATGGTGGCAGGTGTCTGTAGTCCCAGCTACTCAGGAGGCTAAGGCAGGAGAATGGCGTGAACCTGGGAGGCAGAGCTTGCAGTGAGCCGAGATTGCGCCACTGTACTCCAGCCTGGATGACAAAGCAAGACTCTGTCTCAAAAGAAAAAAAAAAAAAAACTGTGTTCTGAAGACTCTGTGATGGCCCCAATCAGATGTTCAGCCCTTCTTTTTAGTTTGGCTTTCCTTTTCTGTTCCCTTGGGGAAGAACTGAGTGATTTGGAGAAGCATCTCTCAACCACCAACCACCAGAGATCAGGAAAAATTCATCTGAAGGCCTCCAAATTTATTCTTTCTGTGGCTTTTTAAATAACTAAGTCAATCAGGGTCTCTCTTATCTTCCTTTTGCTCCCTCTTGTTCTCGTCAACAATGATAGTAGTCACATTTCATCATGTGACGTGTGCCAGGTGCTATGCTGAATACTTTACTCACATTCTTTCATTTACTCTGCATATCGGCTCCATGAGGTGGGTAAGATTACTGTTTACATTTTATAGGTGAGGACACTGAGGCCCTCTACGTTAGATAATTTGGCAAAGGAAACACAGCGAGTGAAAGCAGAGTCAGAACATGCAGCTCTGGCTTTTGTACTCCACACTGGGACATACTGCCTCTGTAGAAATCACACCAGCCAAATGCTAGGCGGTAAAGCCAATATTAACTGAGAGAACAGCAAATGTCTGCATTTGCAGATGCCATATGCTGCAAATGAAGTTTCTGCTCCTCACATGGTATATCTTGATGCCTCCTTCACAGCTGTCTTTCCTGTCTGTCCTTTGTCTTGGTGAAGCGGAAAGAGAGTGAGCTTTGCAGACAGACACCTGGATTTGAGTTCCAACTCTGCCAACTTGCTGGCCACATGACTTCTCTGGGGCCACCCCTGTGAAACAAGAAGCATGAATTCTTCACCACAGGCTGTGATGGGGAATATTCATCTATGCAGTGCCTGGCTCAGAGCAGATCTCCATTTCTGATAGTTTTATTCACTTTATACTTTTTTCTATCACATGAAAACTATATACTGTTTTCCCAGGATAGTTTCCAGACGTCACATATTTTGTTTTGGGATCTGCTAGGTCAGTGATTCTAGAGGTGTGGTCTCTGGACCAACAGCATTAGCATCACCTGGGAACCTATTAGAAATGCAGATTCTCACATCTCACCCCAGGCCCACTGAATCTAGAAACTCTGGCGTGTGTGTCTTTAAAAGCCCTCCTGGTGACTCTGTTGCACTCTCTTTGAGAACCATTGTCGCAAGATGTCAGTTTAAGAAAGTAATTTTGAGTGCTCACACTTCACAGTACTCTCATGTATTTTGAATTATCTTGACCCTCACAAAACAAGACTGTGAAATTGGTAAAACAAGAATTATTATGCCTGTTTTTAAAATGAGGAAATTGACATCCAAAAAGACAACTGTTTCATTTGAGGCAACAGGATCAGCGAGTTGTAGAGAAGAGCAGCCCCGTCTGAAATCTGCTGTGACCTCCACTACCCAGCGAAGCTCCAGTGAGTACCTCAGTTATTGGTGGTGGAAATCAACTTCTGAGGCCTCTCAGTCGATATTAACCAAGCTAAAATACTACTGCTTTGCACAAACAACCTTCCCTCCCTAGATATGAGTTTCTTATCCGTAAAATGAAGTAGCTAAACTTACCATCTCCCAGTATGTATTTATCCTGCATACATGGGTACCTCCTGATACTTAGGAAGATGAATGACCCATGACCAAATAGTTCTGGAAATGCCACATTCTACTTACCCCTCTTGGAAATTCTCAGTGCGCTGTGGTCACGTAAACGTTCTGGGAAGTCCTGCCCCAAACATGTTTATTTTTATGTTATTTTCATGTTATTAACCATCCTTCCAGAAATAATGTTCTATTGAACACATTTTTGAACTTCAAAATGAACTAAGCTTTAGGACAATATGGAACAGGACAAGTGCGGTGGCTCACACCTGTAATCCCAGCACTTTGGGAGGCCGAGGTGGGCAGATCACTTGAGGCCAGGAGTTTGAGACCAGCCTGGCCAACATGGTGAAACCTCTACTAAAAATACAAAAAAATTAACTGGGCATCATGGCACATCCCTGTAATCCCAGCTACTCAGGAGGCTGAGGCATGAGCATTGCCTGAACCCAGGAGACAGAGGTTGCAGAGCCAAGATCATACCACTGCACTCCAGCCTGGGCATCAAGGCAAGACCCTGTCCCAAAAAAAAGGCAATATGGATCAATGATTTCCAGTCTATGATCTCTTATTAAATCACATTATGAAGCATCCAACAAATCCTTGCAATATCATTTACCCCTTTCAGAGCTGGTCTTCATCCACCTCCCTTCTGGATAAGCTGTGGTCAATTCCTCCAAGTCATTTCCATTAGTTTTCCCCCCCATTCTTTTTCTGTTGGTTTACAAACAAAAAAGTAAATACCTTCTCCCTTACAGTGTCTTGTGTTTGTAAAAATTATCAAGATTTATGCAGTGGGTATTAGAGGAAAAAACAGAATTACTGTGAAATTTACACCTGACTTCAAGTTGATTAATGGAAAGTTTCTTTCTACAAGTGAGAACTTAATTCATCCTGAAGCCAGAATTTCTATTCCACTTAAAGCACCTTCTCAATAATCCCAGACAATGAAAGTAACCAGAGGAAATCTCTAAGCAACAGCCAGCTGGTGAGTGGGCAGGGCCCTGATCTGCACAGCATCTGTCACCAGCTTCACATCTGGATTGTTGTACAGCATAAGAGAAAGACATTTGCCTTGAACAGACCTGCATAGCATGTCTCTCGACTCAGAAATGAATGGCATGGCATCTTTCCTTGGAAATCCTCTTAGGTTTCCAGGATCTCTTGATCTCAGGCCAACAGGAGCAGTGGATTTCTATTGAGTAGATGTCAGTGCTTCTGCCATTGGAGAGAGGTAGGAAAGACAGGAGAGCAAGGCATGGTTGGTGATTCCATGTGCTGGGTGCCTAAGGATGAAAATTTTTTTTGTTTGTTTGTTTTAGTTTTTTTGTTTTGTTTTGTTTTTTTACAAAGGAAAAGGTTTAATTGGACTTGTAGTTCTACATGGCTGTGGAAGCCTTGCAATCATGGTGAAGGCAAGGAAGAGCAAGTCACATCTTACGTGGATGGCAGCAGGCAAAGAGAGAGCTTGTGCAGGAAAATTCTACCTTATAATAAACATCGGATCTCGTGAGACTTACTATCATGAGAACAGCTTGGGAAAGACCTGCCCCAACGATTCAATTACCTCCCACTGGGTCCCTCCCACATGATATGGGACACAGCAAACCATATCATTCTGCTCCTGGCCCCTCCCAAATCTCATGTCCTCACATTTCAAAACCAGTCATGCCTTCCCAACAGTCCCCCAAAGGCTTAACTCATTTCAACATTAATTCAAAAGTCCACAGTCCAAAGTCTCATCTAAGACAAGGCAAGTCCCCTCCACCTATGAGCCTGTAAAATCAAAAGCAAGTTAGTTGGCCAGGCACAGTGGTTTACACCTACAATCCCAGCACTTTGGGAGGCCAAGGTGACCGCATCACTTTAGGTCAGGAGTCCAAGACCAGCCTGGCCAACATGGTGAAACCTCATCTCTGCTAAAAATACAGAAATTATCCAGGCATGGTGGTGCAAGCCTGTGGTCCCAGCTACTCGGAGGCTGAGGCAGGATAATTGCTTGAACCCGGGAGGCAGAAGTTGCAGTGAGCCATGATGGTGCCACTGCACTCCAACCTGGGCAACAGAGTGAGACTCTGTCTAAAAAAAAAATAAGTAAATAAATAAAATAAAATCTGGAAGAAAAAGCAAGTTAGTTACTTTCTAGATACAATGGGGGTATAGGCATTGGATAAATACAGCCATTCTAAATGGGAGACATTGGACAAAACAAAGGGGCGACAGGCCTCATGCCAGTCTGAAATCCAATGGGACAGTCAAATCTTAAAGCTCGAAAATGATCTCCTTTGACTCCACATCTCACTTCCAGGTCACGCTGATGCAAGGGGTGGGTTCCCATGGTCTTGGGCAGCTATGCCCCTGTGGCTTTGCAGGGTACAGCCTCCCTCCTGGCTGCTTTCATAGGCTAGTGTTAAGTGTCTGTGGCTTTTCCAGGCTCACAGCGCAAGTTGTCAGTGGATCTACCATTCTGGGGTCTGGAGTATAGCATTGTTGTCAGTGGATCTACCATTGTTGGATCTATAGTTGTCAGTGGATCTACCATTCTGGGGTCTGGAGTATAGTGGCCCTCTTCTCACAGCTCCACTAAGGAGGTACCCAAGTAGGGACTCTGTGTGGGGGGTTCAACCCCACATTTCCCTTCTGCACTGCCCTAGCAGAGGTTCTCCATGAGGGCCCCACCCCTGCAGCAGACTTTTGCCTGGGCATCCAGGCGTTTCCATACATCTTCTGAGATCTAGGCAGAGGTTACCAAACCACAGTTCATGACTTCTGTGTGCCCGCAGGCTCAATGCCACATGGAAGCTGCCAAGGCTTGGGGCTACCACCTTCTGAAGCAACAACCCAAACTGTACCTTGCCACCTTTTAGTCATGGATGGAGTGGCTGGGACACACGGCACTAAGTCCTTAGACTGCACACAGCACAGGGTCCCTGGGCCTGGCCCACAAAACAGTTTTCTCCTAGGTCTTTGGGCCTGTGATGGGAGGGGCTGCTGTGAAGACCTCTGACATGCTCTGGAGACATTTTCCCCATTGTGTTGGGGATTAACATTCGACTCCTCATTACTTATGCAAATTTCTTCAGCCGCTTCAATTTCTCCTCAGAAAATGGGTTTTTCTTTTCTATCACATTGTCAGGCAGCAAATTTTCCAAACTTTTATGCTCGGCTTCCCTTATAAAACTTTAACAGCTTTTAACAGCTGCCTTTAACAGCACCCAAGTTACCTCTTGAATGCTTTACTGCTTAGAAATTTCTTCCACCAGAATCCTAAATCATCTCTCTGAAGTTCAAAGTTCTGCAAATCTCTAGGGAAGGGGCAAAATGTTGCCAGTCTCTTTGCTAAAACATAACAAGCGTCAACTTTGCTCCAGTTCCCAACAAGTTCTTCCTCTCCATCTGAGACCACCTCAGCCTAGACTTTATTGTCCATATTGCTATCAGCATTTTCGGCAAAGCCATTCAACAAGTCTTTAGGAAGTTCCAAACTTTCCCACATTTTCCTGTCTTCTTCTGAGCCCTCCAAATTGTTCCAGCCTTTGGAGTTTGGATGAATATTTCTTGCAACCTTTTTATGTTTATCTGCATGCTGGATTTGAAATTTAAAAACTGTATTATATATGTATTTCTTAGACTTCTTCCTGAAGAAGAAAATGACTGCAATACTACTTTACCTTTTCATCACAGGCTATTATTCCCATGGTTCCCTCTTCCTGGAATGCTGTTCCATGCTAGAGCAACCTGTCAAAATCCTATACCTCTTTCAATGCCTACTTTATATGCCACCTCTTCCAAGATGCAGTCCCTTATCTCCGCAGCCAGAATGAATCCCTCCCTGGTCTCTGGTAGTACTCTGTATATCTTGGATAACACATACCCCTTCCACCTTGTAGACTGGAAAATTGTTTGTGTGTTTCTATGTCTCCTACTAATTTGTAATTTCCTGAGGGTGAGGACCATAGTCTACCTACAACTTTCAGTCTGGAGATTGCACATAGTTAAGTGTTCAATAAATGTCTATGTAGTTAAATTTGCCTTTAGTCAGGACTATCTTGGTTGCAGGAAAAAGAAACCCAATTCAAACTGGCTTAGGCAAACTGAAGCATTGGCTTATGTTCTTGGATTCCTCTGTGTCAATACAGAGGGATGTATTGACACAGGTTCCTAGGGAATCCAGGGTAAGCCCTGAATTTACAGTGGCCCAAATTATGACATCAGAGGTCATCCTCTGAATCTCTTAGGACTAGTTCTCAGTAAACCCATTTGAATCCTATGTCATCTCTGAATGGATGATTCTGGCCAGGGGAGTGGGGTACGTGGATTGACTGGGACCTGGGTCACCTGCTTCCCCATGTAGCCAGAGGGATCAGCCTCATTCCAACCTGTAGGAATGAGAGTGGGGCAAGAATGGTTCCCCTGCCAGAGAAAGTAGGGGGAGCTGCTCAGCGAGCAAAAACAGCAGATATCACAACAGCTTCCTTCTTGTAGTATGAGGAAGATGTCTCTAACATTCAGAACTGTCAAATAATTAGAAAATCTCTTGTAAGATATTGAGCTGACCATCCATTCATCAAAAATATTTTATAGAGTAGGAGGGGTTGGACTTCAAAGATTCTTTCCCACTCTCATATCCTTTAAGACACAAAAGAATAGTCACAATGAGAAGACAAACGAGAGAATGAAAAGGGCTGCTGTGCTCACCTGCAATTTTTTTTTTTTTTTTTTTTTTTTTTCCAGAGAGCAGATGTGGCTGTGGCTCCCTTAACTATCACTTTGGTCCGGGAAGAAGTTATAGATTTCTCCAAACCATTTATGAGTTTGGGGATCTCCATCATGATTAAAAAACCACAGAAATCCAAGCCGGGTGTCTTCTCCTTCCTTGATCCTTTGGCTTATGAGATTTGGATGTGCATTGTTTTTGCCTACATTGGAGTGAGTGTCGTCCTCTTCCTGGTCAGCCGCTTCAGTCCCTATGAATGGCACAGTGAAGAGTTCGAGGAAGGACGGGACCAGACAACCAGTGACCAGTCCAATGAGTTTGGGATATTCAACAGTTTGTGGTTCTCTCTGGGAGCCTTCATGCAGCAAGGATGTGACATTTCTCCCAGGTCAGTCAGCTCTTCTCAATCCCTTTGCCTAATGCTATGGTTTTGTTTTTGTTTGTTTGTTTGTTTGTTTTTGTTGGTTTGTTTTTTTAAAAAAAAATACTGGAAAGTAAAGAGATGAATTATTTCAGACTCCACTGTATTCGGTTTTTCAACTATTCTTTACAGTCAACTGTCCATTGTATGCTGTGGATTATCTGGATCATCCTGTGGCTGGGCCATCTCTGTCTGCTGTATGGTTGATGTGCTCTGTCAAGGTTAATAGGCGTAATTATGACTGATGCATTGTAGCTGAAAGGTACAGAGGAAAGAAGAAAGCAATGTGTGGTACAACTAACACTTATGAAGCACCTACCAAATGCCAAGCAAGGTTCTGAGTCCCGTGCATGCCTTATCTCATTGAGTCGTTACACGAACATAAGGTGGTACTCCCATCACGTCTCTTTTTACAAATGAAGAACCACAGAAATGTTGACTATCTTGCCAGTGTTACATAGTTAGTAGGCAAGTGAGCTGAGATTCAGAACGCTGTCCTTTACTACTTCTGCATGGTGGGAAGAGCACTGGACTATGAGTAAGTTCTAGCACTGGTTCTAGCACATGGGCCCTTTATGTGGCCCTCGGAAAGTCACCTCACCCTAGTAGATGCTGGTGTCTTCATCTTCACGAGAAAAACGTTCTTCTTTTCTTTGGTTCTGAGTAAGACTCTGGAAATAATCTAGTTCCAGTGATGATGTAAATTTGTTTCTTGTGATTAAAAAATGGAATTTCAGGCCAGGCGTGGTGGCTCATGCCTGTAATCCCAGCACTTTGGGAGGCCGAGGCAGGTGGATCACTTGAGATCAGGAGTTTGAGACTAGCCTAGCCAACACAGTGAAACCCTGTCTCTACTAAAAATATAAAATATAAAAATAAAAATAAAAATAAAATTAGCCGGGTGTGGTGGCAGGTGCCTGTAATCCCAGCTACTTCAGGAGATTGAGGTGAGAGGATCACCTGAACCTGGGAGGCAGAGGTTGCAGTAAGCCAAGATCGTGCCACTGTACTCCAGCCTGGGTGACAGAGTGAGATTCCGTCTTAAAAAAAAAAAAAAAAGAAAGAAAAGAAAAGAAAAAGAAAATGGAATTTCTCAGTGGTGCCTCAGATATCACATTGAAAGCACTCAGGTAACCAAATCAGTGGGATTTTAGCCCCCAGTATGGAATCAGAATAGCTCCATTTTTGTCTGTTTTATATATTGGACTTGTGAACACAATTTATTTTGGAAAAAAAAGTTACTGAAGCTAAGAAAAGAGAAAGGGTGGACAGGAGAGAGTGGGGTAAAAAGTAGGAAAGCTGCCAGTCTAGACCAAGTCCCACATTTACTGACCTCCTGTTCTTTTGACTACATTCTGGATGTGCATGCCACAATACCCCACCAATTTGCCTGATAAATAAACACTGACTCTATTTCTTTTTACAGTTGCTTAATGTCTATGAACTCTTTTTCCAGTAGGCACTCTCTTAGATTACCAAATTTCAAAAGCCTACAGGGAGTCATGGCTCAGAATTTGGCCTCCATGGATAGATCTGGAGGCATAAGTGCATAATATCAAGGTCTCACAGACATGTCCTGGAGGCATCTTTACCACCCATCTACGTTTTGCATGTCACTGTCAATGAGGACCAATATTCCTAAGCGACAATGGAGTAAATTCTTTCTAACAAGCTTCCCTCAGGACTTATTTTGCCTGCTGTATAACTTAGAAAGTCTTATCGTTCATTATAATCTTGTTTTTCTTTAAATAAGAAGACAGTGGGGGGTGGGGGGGGTGCGTGGGAGAGGAGGTGTGAGACTGGCTGCTTGGCCAATACTGGCAAACACATGGTGAAGAGTAGAGAGAACCAAGCAGGGGAAGGGCTTGCTTAAAAATAAATCAGGCCCGTGGATAAACAGTGGGAAGAAACAATTCCTAACTAGTCAGTATAATGTAGGGCCATCACAACATACAGGTGTCAGAAAAGACCCATGAACTTGTTTTTTCTCCTTTATTTCCTTCATCAGTGAGCATCTCATCTTTTCACAGCACCTTTATGCTGTGATCTCAGGGTGTGTTTTCTTTCTCCCCACTATTCCTCAAGGGGTTTCAATCTTGTGGTCCATAAACTGAATCTTCTGTCAGACATGTTTTTGTTTAATCTGTACAGAATTTGGCAATGGTTGTCCAAAATTGAGTGGTAGCTGTCCTCTTGAACAGGTCCGCGCATTCAAGGTTCACCCCAGCCCCAACCTGACCTTCTTTGTTCCTGTGTTATTCAGCTGGTCCCAGAGGGTGTTTGAGTTTGTGACCTCTGGCTGCAAGAGGATTTTCAAACTATGCTTTGGACTTTTGAGGGTTCCAGTAGGGTATCATAGGAGTTGACATGGAGTGAAGAGGAAACTGAACAACATACCCAGCCTCCGTCCTCCCTGATTTTAATAAAACAATTCCACTCTATGCCTCTTTTTCATTAATGAAATGGAAATAACAGTTCCTACCTCAAATGTCGTTGGAAAGTTTAAAAGTATGTATAGAACCTGTAACACAGTACCCAGCCTTCACACAGGAAGTGCAACAACTGGATGCTTTTTTTTATTATGTTATTGATTTTTTTAATTGGATTTTGTCTAAACTTCACTGGAAGAAACAATGCCACCACGGCTCACACTGATTTGAAAGCCTAATACCTTCTTGAGAAGTCCATTAACAAAGCAGAAATAGCCAGTGGTTTACTCCAGAGACCAGCAATATCTGGATTCCTAAGGCTCCTTCTCATAGGAACTGGGAGGAAGGGTTATTGACTTTGGCTGAAAGGTCGGACAGACACAAGGGTGAACTGCCAGAGTAAGTTAGAACTTTGATCCACTTGAGATGGACTTTTTTATCAAGCCAGCCTTGATAAAAAGGTTAATCCAGAGCTTAGGAGCCTGTAAAATCTCCCTTGAGAGTGAGAATGTATCAAAATGTTTCTTGGAAATATATGTAGAAGAGAAGAGACATGTACTTCATCTTACCTTGAACCAGACGAAAAGACAAGGATGCTAAGACAGTGATCAAAGTTATAGACTAAGCAGACAATGAAAAACATCAATAGAAACTTTTGTTGTCATTGTTGTTTATATATTTCCTGATGAAATCAGTAAGTTTCATGACCTTCTGATATGCACGGTACTGTGTTAGACATGCTGGGTGCTATAGTAGAAGGGGCTTTTAAAGCTGGCATTCATCCAACATCCTTTCAAATGAGCTTCAATTAACTGATCTTGCTGCTTATTTAAAGAAAATGTCATAAACCCTTACTAATCTAGAATTTGTGGAAATCAATTTCATCTGAATTGCATGTATCTGCACTTAGCCACAAGTAGCTTTAACTCTTTCTAATCTCTTCAAAATTGATGTTAATGTCTAGTAACCAAAAACCAACAAAACGTGGCCAAGTGTAATTGTCTACAAATAACATCAAAACCTGACCATAGTAATACGGTAAAGATAAAGATAACCCAGTAAAGAGGGTTATCCTTCTCACATGTAAGAAAGTGGTAGCAGGTAGTGGCTTGTGGTGAAATCCAGATTGGCCGTTCTGCAATTATCTTGGCCTTTTCTTCTTGTTCATAAGATGGCGGTTCCCAAATATTGTGTCCATGTTCAAACAGCATGAAGGAAAAAAAGTGTTGCCTTCTATTTCTGTCTTTTTGGATCCGAAGAACAAAAGCTTAACAAAATACTCTCCAACCCACACAGATGTCTGCTTCTTTCTCATTGGTCAGGACAGTGGCCATGATTATTTCTAGTGGCAAGAGAGGCTGAGAAGGCAAGAATTTAGGTTTCCCAGCCTCTAGAGTAGGCAGGGCAGGAATCGATATTGGGGGAATCAACTGACAATATTGGCCACTGTGCCTAAAGTCAATGTTTTCTGCACTGGAATCCAGAATTAGCACAGTCAATGGTGTATGCCAGCAAATGCTAGTGAAATACTTTAAAGACTCCTCCACCCACCCTTTGAAATGTATATTCAATAAATTGGTTTATATAACCCATTTTAACAGTGAAAGTTAAAAATCACTTCAACTATGATCACAGATTACAATTTTTTTTTTAATTAAGTTGATGGTGAGATTAAAAAGGGACCCATGAATTCACTTTTAGGCCTGCTTCTTTCTTGTTCAAAAAAAAAGAAAAAAAAAAAATTTTTTAAAACTCAGTCACCCAGGCTGGAGTGCAGTGGTACAATCTCGGCTCACTGCATAACTTGACATCATAGCTTGACCTTCTGGGCTCAAGCTATCCTCCCACCTCAGCCTCACGAGTAGCTGGGACTACAGGCACAAGCCTCCACACCCAGCTAATTTTTGTATTTTTTATATAGATGAGGTTTCCCTATGCTGCCCAGGCTGGTCTCGAACTCCTGAACCCAAATGATCTGCCTACCTCAGCCTCCTGAAGTGCTGGGATTACAGGCATGAGCCACTGTGCCCAGCCCAAAGACCTATTTTTAATAGATAGTTTCGATTTTGAGGAGTATGTTAAAGAAGGAATAAAAATCATCACAGACAAAATTTATCTTTAGCTCCCTCAACTTTCATTTCTGGTCCATTTCCCGTCCATTTCCCTGTATGTGTGGTCAAGATCATTCATTTATTCAACAGATACTGCTAACTGCTTACGACATGCAGGGCATGGTTCTAGGTGCTGAGGATATGAAGATATATCGATGTTGGAGTGTGGAGGGCAGGAGCCTTTGCTTCAAGGAACTGGCAGTATAGTGATATAAGAGACATTAAACAAACGTTCGTGAATGTGTAAGTTGGGATGTGCTATGAATAAAATGAACCTGCTGTTGCAATAGATAATACAAGAAGTGGAATTAAACAAGTCTTACTTGGAGTGTTCTGAGAAGGTTTCTCTGAGGAGCTGATGGGTGAGAATGAGCTAGACTTGTACAGAGCTAAGAGACATAAATAGCCATGTGCAAAGGCTCTCAGG